CAATTTTTTTTTTTTTTGTACGATATAGTCGTATCCTGTGCTTTTTTCGAACGAAATTCGATTCCTGCGCTCTGAAATAGATAAGAAATTAAATTAAATTTAAAGAAATTTAAAGGAATCGATGAGAAGTGATCACCAACCTGTTGCGCCGAGGCCTAATCATCCGATAATGTTAGTTTCACCTTTCTTCATCTTCCGTTTTATGCACAAATGTGAAAGGTGCCCGCGAGGTATAATTGTATAGTCCTCACAGATTAGAATCGCATGTGGAACATCCTGTGCGCGAGTAAGTTGATTTCCAGTTAGTCAAGCTATCTCGTTTCTCATTTTATTCTCACTGTCGTGCGTATAGAGAAAAGCAAAATCGCATTTTGCCGATATTACAAGGGATATATTATTCATGAGTTCTTGAAATGCTTTTGCAGGTTTCACATACGCTATTAGATCGTCACCTGTAACACATTATACACATTCATGAAGCATTGTATTGAACAAGACACAAAGGATTCTCAGTTCATTAAAAAGGTTAAATAATCGTAAAATATATTTTTTTTTCTCCCGTTATAATTCCATTGAAAGTAGAGGTAAAATGGTACATTTATTGCTCTATTATATGCAAATAGTTTCTTATTTCTTCCTTCTTTAATTGAGATCTTTTAACTCTGTCCTGCTTCAAAGAGAGAAAACTGATCAAAGCATGTATAATTGAATGCAAATATAATTTGGACGTGTGAATCGAAAGGAATTTTAAATAATCGAATGAAAGGGGGAAGGGGGAATAGATAAGGCAAATGACGAGAAAAATAATAATAGGGGCTGAAATAAAAAATTATCTTTTACATTTTACATCCTACTTTCTCCAACAAACTTTGTACTAAGAATCTTTTATGTCTATTTAATGTACTGGTTTTCACATGCGTGTAATAACGCTTATCACACACGCAACGCATAATACGCAGATCAGAGTCGTTCGTTAGTAATCGCGAGGAAATGCGATTATGACAATAAAACGATACACCTTTAAAGACAAAGGTAACTTTAGCTACCTGGCGCAAACCTGATGAACAAACGAGGGAAAAAATGAAAAGCACGAGTGCGCGAGGAGAAAGAGGGTAAGAGCGCGGCTATAAAGCGATCCAGTTTCATCGAAATTCTCAGTTTGTCGTATACGTATCGCACAGCAAACGAACATCCCCGACCAGTGTGCGACGAGTTAGTGCGGCGAAATGAAGGCGTCGATTTTGCAAGTAAATGTCCAGAGATACCTTGATAGCGGATGTAAAAACTTTACGTCGGGGCTAACATCTCGTAAATTTGGATTTTACGACGAGTGGACGAAGCGGGGTATCTCGCAGAAATCGCTATATTAATATTCTATTCGATTGTGGTTTATGATTCGCTGATATAGATACGTAATCATCGTTTGTGCAACACAAATAAAATTCGGCATATAATTTATAATCGGCATGTATTTTACGTGTGACACGAGATTGTTGTTGACAGTTGCTGCTATACGAGTATAGAATGTAGATAAAACAAAAAGGAAGTATAAAAATTAATGGTTGTGGTGATTTGCAGTTGGTGTTGCTCGTGATGCTACTGGCTGGACCTTCGGAGGAATTTTTTTTGGAATAGTGAGTGTGACTTTTGTACTTTCTTCCTGAAAGATTATTATAAAGCCTTCGAAAGGAATAAATGTATCTAAATAATATGTCTTACAAATCAATAGTATCTCCTTTTATCTACAAACTCTCCAGGCAATTATTATTTTTATTTACTTGTGAAAAAAAAATTCAAAGCGCAATCTTTTAAAAATACATACCATCACACACAATCAATTTTAATCAAAATTTTACAAGTTGAATTTCTCTAAAATTTATAGTATATTTATATTATATTACATATTATATTATATATATTATATTTTATATTTATATTTTAAACATTTATATATTTATGTAAAATTATTTGAAAAGTAATTTTTAGCGATTCCAAAGCTTAGTTTTTCAGGGGCTCCAGAGAAAGACCCGTTCGTGACGCTTCGGGGATGTCACCGAGGCGATTCTACGAAACCGTCGATCAATATCCATGTCCACGGGAACGATGAAAAATCCTCATGGACTCTGTCGAGCAGCCGTTCAAAGACTGCCTCCATTAAGGAAAGATAAAGCTCGCGCGTAGTATATTATATATTATTAATTATTAATTATTATTAATTATTATTATTATTATTAATTATTTATTTTTAAAGAAAAAAAAATCAAGTCAAAATAAATCAAAGAATTTTCATATTAAAAAAAGTGCATTTGATTTTGAGACTTAAAAAAATGAGAAATCAATTTTGATTACGCGAGACTTTTTTTTTAAATCTCCGCTTTTAATTTTTCAATTATATTTACAATATGTTTTCTTATATATATATATTTTAGTTCAAAGAAGGCTTTGCAAGAATTCTTCCAATCTCTGAAGGCAAAAAAGCAGCCGCCCAAGTCGAACATACAGCATTATCATATGCATTATTACCCGATACCTTACTCTATGTTAATATTGCCGAAAGTTCCAGTTAAACGAGATCTCGACAGATTCTACGAGTACGTTCGCATTCTATTAATATCAAATAGAAAAAAGATTAAACTCGTTTCTCGTCGCGATTGCATCCAACGAGAAATCAATTCATCTTCATGAGCATGTAAAAACTTATTAGTGTAGCGTATTAGGAAAAGTAATATTTCAAGTTTTTTATCATTTCACTGCCTTTTACGGAATTCACAGTAAGAAAATCTGCGATTTCTCGCTGTTAAACTTTTAGTTCTACTTGTAAATAAAATTAATACCAGCGCGACTGGTCGACGACTTATCCAAGCGATTATTTTCTAGCGATACTCTCACATCGTTTGCATGGCCGGATTACAGCAAGTATTTACCTTATCCTTCGACAATCATGTCAGATCTTAAACAACTATTGGACGCAGAGACTCCAAGTGAGTTCGGATAATATTTCACGCAAGAAAAAATTAATTGTATTTGTTTATTTAAATAATTGAAAAAAAAAGAGGAAAAATCTCGCGTAAATCAATATCATCGTTTTGTTTTTTTTCGCAGTATCGGACGACACGCAAGCTACGATCGATCGTAACGGCCAGGGATTATTGCTGCAAGTTCCTGTCAACCAACAGTTCATGATTCATTTGCTCAGGAGATCGCAACAACGACAGCTGGCAAAAGCGATGATTTAAAATAGCCGCGAAGTACATTCTCGTCGATTGTGATTCATTCAAATCAGTAATGAACGTCACGATGAACTTTCTTTAACTTTAAATTTAGATTAGTTAATTAAAATTTAGCTTTCAAACGCTTATCCGATATGTATAAGTATTTTGATGACCTATTAGTCCTATTATTTATTAGAAGCGTATAGACATCTCGGTACGTCTGCGTTTTTATTTTGTATTTTTACATATTTGTACTAGATTGCATGCCAGTCGGAAGAGTTAAAAATAAATATAAATTATTACATGCTCAGAGGCTTATGAGGCTGCAAATCGTCCGCGAGTAACAGTCCTGGAAGTTGTTTACACTTTTTAGCCGCCTCGGCGTGAAACTTTGGCGTGCATTGATGACGTCGCCGGGTTATCTTCCTCGGCAATAAACCGGGCGGTAATTCACGCAGTTTCGGTACGATTGAAATGGCCTTCAATTTTCTTCGTTCGATGCGAATCTTCTGCCGCGTCTCGTAATCTTCCTGCAGCTTCGACGCCAGTTGCGTCATGTACTTACGATCCGTTAATCGTACTACGTGACTTCCCATCAGCGTCGTTAATCGCGATCTTACGGGGATGTAACTGAGCCTGCGTCAATAAGCCCCGCTTCGATTAATTAAAGATTGCTCGAAAACCGATGACGAGACTTACCCGTATTTCACGCAATCCGTTTCCCACCATGCCGGTGGCGCATCGTACAGATCTACAGCTGACAGGAACATATTCTGTCTATGCACGATAATCTTCTTCTTTCACTTTTATTTAAATTTTTTTAACCTGAAATTTCTCGTAGCCCGTCCAGAAGACAATTCCGTTCCGATTAAAAAAAGTATTCTCTCGTAATTTGAGCGTTTTTTGTTGCCCCCGCCCTGTGATCGATATCACTAAGATATGCTATCGAGATCTTTTTGTAAACACCATATTCTATTATTATACCCAGACTGCTAACATGGCTATGTTTTATATAATAACATATATTTATCAATTAAAACTTTCATATGAAATATTGCAGCTTTTCTTTCAAAGATAAGTATCGATTGATAGCCTGGTTGAATGCGATAAAAAGACAAAATTGGACTCCCAGTAAATATGATACAATCTATAATGAATATTTTATAT